TTTTTTTACAGTTTTTTTAGCTTATTTTCTATCTCAAATGCAGTCAGGATCTGGTGAAACTCATGTTTTGTATGTAATCTTTTTCTCTTTAATCTTGTTACATATTCTTCAAACTCATAGAGTTGGATGGTTAAATTTCCTTCCCACTTGAATATAGCTTGCCAGAAGGGTTTTGAGATGATTTGACATTTGAAGTCCACGATTCGAAAGGAAAGTATTTTGGCCACATAGTAGTTCAAGTGGCTAATATTGCTGAAAAATTGGTATATTATGTAAATCTTATTTTGACCACCTGTGATTGCAAAAACTATTGCATGGTCAGAGTGAATATATTTGTAGGTTTGATACAGGGTGAGAGGCTTCATTTATGGCCTATATAGCATGAACTAATTGGGAAAATGCAGCTAAATCTAAACTATTCAACAACTCCGAAAAAAAAATTTCGGGGGCGCTGCCCCGAACCCCCGTAAGCCTCCACCCCTTCAACTTTAGACCTCCCTACTTCGACGAACTGGCTCCGCCCCCACTCAAAAATTATCTGGGTCCGCCCCTGCCTATGGTTGCTCCACCACCTCAGGCTTTGTAGTTTCCTCATTAGGGGTTTGCTTTATTGGGGCTTCAGATTCCATTTTATAAAAAATGATAGCAATTTTCTGAGCCACAGCGTCGACGAGGGACTGACAGAGCTTTTCGAGCTCATCAACTCCGACGAAGACGACGGGTTTGAATTTAAGAGTTTCTTCTTTCTCCTTGTTTAGGGTTTTGCCCTGGGAGAGAGACTCTTCCATCCAGAGTATACATTTCTGCATCTTGCGGAGGGAGCGAATGCGTTTGTTGATAAGTGAGGACTGGTCCTTCAGTTGTCAACTCAAATGATGATGAAGATGCAGCCATGGTCACCACCATTGTGAAAGTTGTTGAGGATGTGCAAATGAAGGAAGAGACAATGAATTTTGACTCGCCGTGAAGAAGATGAACAGTAGCATATTTTATTTTTTTTTAATTTAATGCACTCCGCGAATTGATTGGAAACCACAACCATAGATTGTTTGGGAATTTTACAATTGATCGTGTTAATCTTCTGGTTGTGTGTTTGTCGTGGTTTGGGGATTTTACAATTGATTTTACAAATGACGCAAACTGCAATTTTTTTTTCCAATTGTCTGTGTTGTTCTACAATGGCAATGGTGTAGTGGTGTTTGGGAGGTGATTCTACTGTTGATAGTGGAAAGTGGTGGTCGGTAGTGGGGGCCAATGGCTTTTGAGGGTGAAGGTGGGAGTGGGGGTGGTTACCGTGGTTTGTGAAGAAGGTGAATAGTGTTATCTTTTTTATTTTCCTTTTTTATGTTAAAATTATGAAATTACTATTTTGCCCTTTGTTGATTTGGTTAAAATAATTTTTTGGAGTCAATTAACAGTCAAACTAATGGTTTCTATCTATTCGCACTTGACCTACAAATTGGTTGAAGGTTTGGTACCGTGAGTGGTACAAATTAAAAGTTTGGGCAAAGTCTGCAAAAAGTTGAGAGGTCTGGTACCGTGACTGCAATTTTCCCTATTATTTATCATTTTGATAATGGAATATCGATGATGTTGCAACCCATTATCTCTCCTATTTTTCTCTCCCTTCAATTTCTTTCATAAAAATAGAACTGTTAAATCTCATTATTTCATATAAACTGTCGCATCATCGATATTCCATCATTATACTAATAAATAACAGTATTCTATTTATTATAGCGGTGGAGAGGCTTGCAATTGTGTACTTGGTTGTGGTGGAAGGAACTCATGTGATTGCTTTTTGAATATTTGAAAACCAAAAATCAACCAATAAGGTTTGGGTTTGAGTCATGTTTCAACCTTGGGTGAATTGGTTCCATTTGATTTCTCACCAAACCAAACATGTTGAATCAAGTTGAACCGACCCAACGTAACCACACCCAATCTTGATTATGAGAGTGAAGTACTTTTATGATACTTCTAAAGACAAAAGCTAAGTTAAAAGTTTATTTAGAAGAAAAATTGAATAGTTGTCCTTTTTTATTTAGCACATGTTTGACAACCTTTAAAATAAATTTTTTTGGGAAAGTGAGTTTTCAAATATTGATTTATTTTTTTTTTTTTTTTTACTACGTGGTTAAAAAATAGAAAAAGTTTTGAATTTATGTGTAGAATATTTTATTGTGTGAACGTGTGGTTGAAAATGAGTTTGAAAAAAAAAAATGAGAATTTTTTAATGATTAAATGTATGACAATACGTTTCAGTCAAGTATCAAGCATTACAAATATATGCATGCTTATGCGAAGCATATGCGTAATTATGTATTTTTCAATTTTTAATATTATTTTAAGTATTTTAAACTAATAAACAAATAAAATAATGTATTTTTTGAACTTTATATATTCTTCAAATTTTAAATATATATATTGCTCAAAATTATAAATATTACAATTACTTGATAATCAATTCGTACAATTAGATTAGACATGAATATCGACTTAAAAAATCTTAAATATCGTTTAACTCTTCATTGAATTCCAATTCAATCTTCTCTTCTTCATTCGAGTCAGCTTCCGCGTCATTAAATGACGCAAAATCACTTACTTCAATTCGAGAATTTCGATTATCTCTTATAAATGATAAGATATCATTATTAACCCCTTCCTTATCATTGCAATCATCAACAATTCAAGAATATGCATTATTAGCATCACTTGTTAGTAAAACTATAGGAAAATAAAAAAAGAAGGAGACTCGAACTCGGCGTAAATAGTTTGCAACTTTACGAAAAATTTGTTTTAATTTTAATTTTTCTAAACGACAAAATCTTACAAATTAATGTATATAATTCACAGGCTTCGATGGTTTGGGTTACTTTGATGTGTTGTTAGGCTCAATTTGCCTTCTTTTTTTTTTTTAAGTTATAAAAATGGGTTTGGTATTGCTAAGCTAATTTAGACACAGTTTTCAACATAATGCATGCAATTTGACGTTTAAGCGTGCATATATAATTAACGAAATGAGTTGTTCACAACATCATACGCACTCCACATGCTAGATATTTCAAAAATTCCTCGAGTGCGTGTACGCATTTTAGAGCAACGGTGGTAGGGACTTATTTTTTATATGTCATTTTTATGTTTTGCCAGCTTTACCAAAAAGACGAGTGAAATAATCAACCTCCTTTAAAGAAGTTACCCAATGAAAGTGTATTTAATTGAGACTTTTAATGATTTTTTGAGATTTAAAAAGTTTCGGGGTTTTCAATGTAGTTTTTTGAAAACTCTCTAAAAGTATTGATATATTCAATTGAGACTTTTCTAAACTTTTAAAAAGTCTCTAAAAATCATGATGTATTCATTAAAACTTTTTAGAAGTCTTTATAAGTTTTGGGGTATTCAAATTTTTATGACTTTTAGAGATTTTCATAAAAGTTTCAATGGTACTAACTTTTAAGTAGAAAGTACTAAAATAAAATCTCAAAATTTGTCTCTCATTAATCACAAGATTTTGGGAGATTTTCAC